GTTACAGGAAATGAGGACATTTTACAAGAAGGGTGAGTGGCCTGCTAGTCTGTCAGAGTGGCAGGGTCTTCACGTGGGCATGTGTGTGTGGACACAGGTGAGGCACCTTCATGTGCAGGCAAGCTGGGGACCTGCGTTCCCTCCTCCTGCCCGCGTTCTGTTGGCCTGACCTTAAGCTGACAGGTTGGAGCCCCCTGGTTTATAGATTTTATTTTTCTTAAAGCCCTTTTTGTAAAACACTAACCTCAGCGCAGGGGAAAGAAGGAAGAAGAGGGAAAAGCGCTGAGTTCAGCAGCTGCAGGCCACTGTCGTTTTCATCTTGCATCAGCAAGTCGGGACCACAAATAATCTGGTCTTCCATGCTCCGGTGACGCTGGCGCTGAGGCTCTGCTGTCCTGAGCCAGCCTGGCCCCTGCCCCACATTTCTGGCTCAGGTGGCTGCGAGGGGGCGGATGGGGCAGGGAGTCTGTGGGGGTGGAAGAGCTCGGAGGGAACAGGCCCGGCCAGAAGGGGGTGGGTAATTAGTTTCTGAATGGCTCTGGAATCAGCTAAACATTTCCTTTTAACCAGTTTGCCCAGCCTTCCATTCTTTCTAGTTCAGGGAAATGTCATTTATAATGGATGCTGCCTCGGTAAATGGCTCCCGAGCAGCGCCGCGCTCTCATTAGTCTATGTAATGAGAACGACTCCGCGTGGTGGCAGAGCTGCCCAGATACTTGCCTGATAGAAAAATATTTGTCTACGCAGTTTGCTGGGAAGGCCTGGGATGGGGCACGGTGGGGAGGGGGCCGAGGCCTGGCTGAGGGCCGGCTTGGACATGAGGATGCCTCCCTCCTAAAGTTTCCCAAGCAGACCCCAGCCAGGGCCTTCCCGCTGCCTGGTGGGCCTGGGTGTGATGCACAGCTGGTGGTCGGCTCTGCCCACACCGGTCAGCGTGCCCTTGCTCTGGTCCTGCCCGGGAGCCTGTCCCGTCAGCTGCAGAGGGAGTTGGGGTGCAGCTGGACTGCCTTGTTCTCTGTCATCTCCGAGAAGTGGAGATGACACAGTGGACAGGTGTTTACATAGTGAATTCCAGGTTCGAGCAGTCCCTCTGCATATGCAGTTCTGTGTGGCCTCCCACACACTCCTCAGTGTGGGTGTCATGGCCACTTAGGCCTCTGGAGGGACAGGTCTGTTTCAGGCCGATGGCTTTGGAGTGGTGGCCCCGACTGTGGCTGACCCCTGCACTCCGATTGTGAGAGGATGGACTCTGTCCCACTCTGTCCCCCAGGGACCCACTGGAGTCTCCTCCGCAGCTCCCCAGGCACCTCTTCATGGAAGTGCTGTTAAGGATGCACGTTAATTCCTGCAGGCCACTGGGGCCTCCTTTGGCACGTGGTCTTACCAGAGAGAGCAGAGGTGCTTGTCCATGGAACTGACAGCCCCCAGGCAAGACCAGGCAGGGGCATCAGGCCTGCGGAGGGCATTGCGGGGGCCAAGCTGCCTCGGTGCCCATGTTAGTGCCACACAGATGCTGCTAGCCGGACTGCCGGCTGACACCTGCCTGCTGTTTTATTTCCGGTGGAGGGTGTTAGCAGGGTTCTCGCTCTCCTGCTGTTGGGGGCAAGTCCACTGCGTGTCAGACACAGGACTCCTCATCCGTCCATTCGTCTGTTCCTTTTCTCCCTCCCTCCTTCCTCTGTAGTCCACTGGCTATGGAGTCCCGAAGGGGGTCGGGCCTTCTTTGGACAGCGAAGATGGCTTCTGCTCGGAAACCTCTCCTAGCTTGCTGGGAGACAGAGATGGGGCATGTTTGCCACAACAACGCAGCGAGCGGGTGCAGGGACTGGGGTTTGTGAAGCGTGTTTGGAGTTGGGGCAGGGCATCCAGAGAGGACTTTCTAGAAGAGGCGGCACTGGAACTGGGCTTGCAAGGGGAACTGGAGGAGGTTCGAAGGAGGACAAGGTTGGGGAGGCACTCTTGGCAGGCGAGCAGAATAAGACTGAGCTGTGCAGTGTCCTGGTTGGGCACCACGTGGCCATCAGTATCACTACGGAGTCCGGGCGGGGGAGAGGAGCATGCAGAGCAGACTAGACACAGTGGGTCCCCATTACGGGCTGCACAAGCACAGAGACTTTGTCGGGGCAGTTATGGGGCTGTGGTCCCCAGGATCAGAGACCAGGAACACCGAGGGCCCCTCAGAATAGCTGGGCTTGCTTGCCAGGCTCCGTCCCAGCACTGGGCGGGAGGGACTGTCACTGCTCTCCTCAGGAACTGCAACCCCTTCCCGTGGATGAAGAAGTCAGCGCGGAAGGGCAGGTCAGCTGCCCGTGGTGCACCCTTGCTTACTGGCGGCATGGCTTTGGTGCCTGGGATTCGCTCTAACCACCGTGCTGCTCTGCCCCTCCAGTGGGTCTGCCCTTGACCTTAAGATCTACCTCTGGATTTTTCTCCACATGTCGTATTGCAGGAAATGAGGTTGGCCAGAGAGCCCACCCGAGTCTGTGGGACAGCGTGCTATGCCGTGAGGGGTTTGGCTGGATTGCGAAGACCGAGGAGCACCTTCCACGGAGGTGGAAGGAGGGGACCCGGTGGGACTGACAGAGCTAGGGAAGGAAGCAGATCTTTGTGTAGAGGGTCTCCAGAGTCCGGCATGGGAAGAATAAAGGCTGGAACTGCTCGGACTGAGAGCAGAGGAGCCACGCTAGGGGACATGAGGTGTCAGGGGCTCAGGATGGTTACGGGTAGGTGGCCTTGGGCACTGTGAGCTGCAGCTGGAGAGAGGGCAGGGGTGGAGGGGGATAGGGGAAGAAAGCTCACCTCACACACCCACCAGAACCAAATCAGCATTCAGAGAAAGTTGAAAGAAATCTTTCAGCTGGCTGGCTACCTCGCTCAAGGCTAACCACACTCTTAACACAATAATAAGTCAATCCTCACTGAATAATTAAATAGAGAGCCTTCATAAGTATTGACTTAATGTGACAGCAAGTCTATAGTGACTCGGGGTTTGCTTATGTAAACACAATCTCTTGTTCAGCTTACTTAGCAGTTCAATGAAATAGAACAGCCCTTCAATTAAAATCCAATGATGCATACGTTTAATTCGGTTCTCCTCTTACTGGGGCAGGACTGGGTTTGGGACACAGGTGAGGGGTGCGGGGAAGTTAAAGGGGGTCCTCTCATCCCACTGTGTTTGGGAAGACATGGGGGATATATCCAGTGGCCTTTCTTGGAGAGGAAAGGGACTCGGTGGGGAGAGCCCTGTGTGTTTGGGTTGGCCTCTGCCCCACCCGGGTCCCCGACCTGTTCCTAGAGCACTGGCTGTGTGGTTGGCATGCCAGTCTTGGCGGCCTCTGGGTCTAATCGATGGCTTCTGGTCAGCGCGCCCAGCCACAGGTCTCTATGGGCCCTTTCTTCTTCTTCTTCTTCTTCTTCTTCTTCTTTTTTTTTTTGGAGAGATTTTTGCTACAGCGCACATGCGCTTGCCAGACAGAGACAGAGAGACAGAAAGCAAGAAATCACCCCCCAGGGGGGGATGGCCATGCTGCAATCCCTTCTTCTCCATTCTCCTCTAGGGATCTTGGGCATACACGCACAGGTGCCTGGCGTGAGTTTTAAGCCACCGAGTCCAGGATGCGAACCACGGTCGAATTCAGCGACATAGCCATTATGGTAACTGCTGGTCCTGCTCTGGGCCATTTCTCATGGTCACCTTTGTGGCTCCCTGGGGAGAGAAGGGGTGCTGGGTGAGCTCCAGGCTGGATGGGAAAGGGGGCCGTGGGAGGAGGTGGCATGCAGTGAGTCTTTCGGATGGCTCTAGAAGAGCTATAGACCTTCATTCTATGGCTTCAAAGTGCTGTGAGGACTTTGAGAAGGCGCAGGGGCTGGGAAGAGCCGGGGGCAGCGTGAAGGTGGGGAACCCGCGGGCTGCAGAGTTACGACTGAGGATCCTGCCCTCCTTGAGGGTGACGTCTCTGTTCCTCTCAGCTACGGTGTCCCAGGACAGAGGGTTGGTTGAATTCGCTGATGCTTCTGGAACCGATGCCATTTTCTCTGACCAAAGGCTCAGAAAAATCATTGTTTATAATAACTCGGGATTCCTGAGGCTTGGAAAATGAAACTTAAATCATGTCACTCAGAGCACGGTGAGCGGGGTCTCCTCTTAGCACCTTTTGAAATGACTTCCGAATCTCCCTTCAGCGCATGTACTTAGCGTCTTCCGATTGTAACCAGGGGTGCGATGTGTGTAGCCTCTGCCTTTGAATCTCGTAACATGATGTCGTGTTTAAATTTTCATACGTTGACACCGTCTACGTCCTTGTCGTGTTTTGATAGCGACGTGGTCTCCCTGGTGTTCAGCTCCGTCGGAGCTGTTCCTTTTGCTACGCTGGAGGAAGTCCAAGGCCAGGGCTGTCTGGATGCATTGGCGCCTCGTCTGTCTTCAGGACGGCTCCCGTGGAGGGCTCCTGCGGCCCTGGCTCTTGTGTGCGACGGAGAGACCCTCGGTGGGCTGGAGTTTGGCCCAGGTCTTTTCTCAAATGTGCCTTTTCTGGTTGCTCCGTACTGAGATGGAGGAGGTCACGGAAAATCAGAGAACAGAGCCTAGGAGTAGTGGAGCGTTTTTCTGCTCTAAGTGACAGAGAGCCAATTAGCTAAGAAAAGTAAAAAAGGCACTTACTGGCTTATTTAATAAAATATAGAAAGAACACGTTCAGGCACAGAACTCCCCACCTCCTCGTCCCTGTCTCTCTGATCTCCCACATCCGTCCTTCTCCCCTCCCCTCCCCTCCTCTCCCCTCCCCTCCTCTCCTCTCCTCTTTTCTTTCTTTCTTTCTTTTTTTTTTCTTGCTATAGGGCGCATGTGCTTGCCAGAGAGAGACAGCGAGAGACTCAGAGAGGGAAGATAAATCACCCCTTGGGGAACGGCCACGCTGCAGTGCCTTCTCCTCTACTCGCCTCTCGGCATGTGGGGCATGCACACACATGCGCCTGGTGTGATTTTCAAGCCACCAGTCCAGGACTGAATTGTACAGCTGGCATGCAGGATCCAGGGCTTTAACCTCCATGCCACCTGCTGGCCCCTGCAGGACAGTGTGATTGTCTTACCGTGACACTGAGGCCGGAATCACAGTCCCAAGGAGTTGTGTCATAAGCAGAAGGAAAAGCGTGTTCGGCCGCACCTCTTCCATCGGGAAACCCTTTGGCATGGACTCTGTACCCCCTGAGCCCTAGTCAGGAGCAAGGGGATAGCCTGGGTCACGTGTCCAGCTGGGCCCAGGAGGTGACCCACCGCCTTTACTTGTGCTGCCTGGTCCAGGAGGAAGCCCCTCCCTCAGCCCACCTCCAGGGCAGCTGCTCCTCCGGGTGGGAAGGATAACAGCGCCATTGTTAGGTGGAGACAATGAACAGCCGGGAGGAGACCTCACAAGGCGTTAGGGCAGTGTCCTGAGGTGGCAGAGAGGGTCAGCCAGAGTCTGCGGTGACCCTGGAGGTGTGTGGAATAGGTGAATAGGTGAGACCCATTTTCCCCTTTCTCATGGTCATGTCACACAGAACCCTCTTACCCGAGCCCCTGCCCCACCAAGGGGACCCGAAAGCCATGCCAGTGGCACCTGGGTCTGGTAAAGCCATTTTCTCTGCATTCCCGTAAATTGTGTACGGACCCTGACACGAGCTGGCATCGGCGCTTCCTGGGGACCCTTCACGACTTACTCGCTGCCCCCTTGGTCTGCCCCGGCCAGTGCTGGAGGCTGCGCCCGCTCGCTGGCAGGTGCCTGGCCCTGGTGCTGGCCGGTGGTGGTGCCTGGCCCCATCCTGCTCGTGAAGGACATCAGCTTGGTGGCATGGTTGGGAAAATTAAGGGAGACCCCAGGGTCTGACACGTAGTAGGTCCTCAGTAAGTGTTGGTTCCCGTTCCTCTCCCTTCGTGTCTGCAGTCTCTAGAGATCCATGGTTTCCATGGCAACAGCATCGCAGGTATAACCAGTTTGAGTCCCGGGCCCAGTGGTTCTGGGAAGTTGGCGAGAACCTCGGCCCACAAGCCGCGTGTTGGTGCTGTGGTTGTGCCTCCAGAGCTGTGAGCCGAGAGTCGGCCATGAAGGCCTTAAGAGGAAACGCAAGACCTCGGTGGAGCTGCAGGGGGGCTGGGAGTGAGCTAGGGAGTAGGGAGGGGCCCTCGATTGACTCCTGGTGGGCTCCTAAGGAGAGAGACGGAGACCCGGAGACAGAGACGACAAGAATGGAAGCTCTGTGGGACAGATTCACGCAGCGTTCTAGGCCAGACGAGGTGGGGAGAGTGTGTTTGGGGCGGTGGTTGTAGCCGGGTGCAGGAAGGCGGCTGGGGTCTAGAATTCCAGGGTGCCCGTTCTCTTGGTTTGGCACTGGGAAGAGTGCCTATTAATGCAACTGCGTGTCCCTGGGGCGGAGTGCGTGTGCACAGACACGCACACTCTCTGCTCTGACTGGAGCCTTAATGACGGAGCTGTGAAGTGGGGATATTTACCACCCAGACCGGGGGTGGGGTCTCAAACCCATGCAGAGCCGCGGCCCCAGATGAGCATGCTGCAGACTTATGGGAGCTCGGACCAGAGGGCCCTGCCCTTGGAGTTTCAGAGCTTGGGAGCCTGGGGTGTGGCCTGGAGAACTACCCTTCAACACGGTCCTGGGTGACGCGGGTACCACTGTCCGTGGACCACACCCTGAGACCTGCAGGGAGCTCCCCTCCCACATGTGGATGATGCTGCTTATGTGGGTTGGCCTTCGCACGCCTCGCCTGTTCTCTCTCCCTTTGCTGGGGACACATGTGCCCGTCACACAGGGTTGCCAGATCTAACAGGGAAATAGAGGGTGGGCAGTTAGAGTCGAATTCCAGATAAACGACCAAGTATTTAGTGTAAGTATCCCCCAGGTAGGCAGGAGATATACTAAAAAAATTCTTCATCTGATATTCAAATTAATTGGTATTTTAATATGGCAACCTTTTCTTCAAATTGGGGATCAAAGCCAGCAGGTGGCATGGTGGTTGAGGGGCTGGATTCCCACATGTCTGACCACAGTTCGAATCCTGGATCCAGCACCTTGAAACGCACACTGGGTGCCTGTGCATGCAGGCCCAAAATCCCAGGAGGAGAATAGAGAAGGGATTGCGGCATGGCCATCCCCTCCGGGAGGTGCTTTCTTACTTTCTTTCTCACCGTCTCTCTCTGTCTCTCTGGTGAGCGCAACCACCCTATAGCAAAAATCTCTCTTAAAAAAACATTGGGGGTCAAGTGTCTGTCTCGCACTGCCCTTCCGCCATGCTCCCGTGCTTGCATAGGCTACAGCTGAGCAAGAAGCAAGCCCCGAGCTCACCTGGCAGTCTTGGCTCAGTCTCGGCTGGGATAGACGTGGCTTGTGTTCACTTGGGTTCTCTCACTGGTGCTGTTTTTCTCTCTGGGTCTCTCCATCCGCTGTCTCTCATGCTTGCCTTTGTTCATGCCATCTCTCTGCTGGGGCTCTCAGAGGCTGAAATCTGTAAAGCGATGGGGCTACTGCAGGAAGAGCCTGTTTCCAGCAGCCAGAATGGCATCAAGAGACCAGCGAGCTTGTGGTGTGGGGTAAGAGGGACATCTGGCGTAGAGGCGATGGAGAGCGGTGGCCGGCTGCCTCGAACGAGACAAGGGGACTGTTCACCTGGAGAGCGGCGCCCAGGGCTGGGAGTGCTGTGTGGCCAGTTCCCGTCGTGGCTGGAGTTGGAGCCTTCAGGGTTGAGGTCGTTGGCACCACTTGGTCTTCGACATGGCGGAGGCGGCAGCCTGCCCTGTGGGCTCTGTCAGGCAGGGAGAGGTGGAGAGAAGCCTGAGCAGTCAGAGGCCTCCTGGGACCTGGCCGTGCTGTCCCGCAATGGCCCTGTGTGTCACTCTTGCCTGACAGAGCATCTGCCCTGCAATGGGAGCTCTGGGTTTGAGTCCGGGCTCCACTGCTCTGTAACTCAGTGATCATGGGCAGTGGGGTAGCTTCTGGGAGGCGCGGCTTCCTCGTCCCTAAAATGGCACAGTAGTGACACTGCTTGTTAGAGCTCGGGGTCCCTGTGAGGATAAGATGGTAAATGGACGTAAAGCGGCTTTTGGAAGTCTCTGTGGTGGGCCCAGCGGTCGCGTGGTGGTTAAGGTGCTGGGCTCCCACGTGGCCGACTGTGGTCTGAATCCTGGACCTGGCGGCTTGTTTTCTCTTTCCCCGCTCTCTGTCCCTCTCTGGTGAGAACCCGTGCCTTATAGCAAGTTAGAAATCAAAACTCAGTCCATCAATAATTCTTAAAAAATTAAACGTCTTCGTGGTAAATGGAGACACAGTGTGGCAGGGTCACTGTCCCCCGCACGAGTCCCGGTGCCAGGTCACTGAGCACCTTCACGCAGCCGTGCGGAGGTCGCCACCGTCATCTCCGGAGCTCTCTCATCAGACGGCAGAGAACCTTTAACTCGGCCAATCAAAACTACGTCACAGTCACCTGACAGCTAAGGACACTGAGCCCCAGGGAGTGAGAGCCTGGCGTTCTGACCCGTCGGCTGCCTGTGGGTGGGGAAGGAGGGCTGGCCGGCCTTTCTCTGACCTGTGGCAGGAGGGCTGTGTTGGGGATGGCCGTGGGAGGGCTCCCCCTGAGCAGGCTCTTCCTGACCTCCCCAGGCTGGCTCCTTTGACCCTCACACGGAGCCTGTGGGGCAGCCTGGGTGGGAGTAGAGCACCAACCTGGGTGGGAGGTGAAGGCGGAGGATTGGGCTGTGACCCGGAGTTTGCCTGGGCAGAAGGCTGAGCCCGGCTTCCTGCTGTCTGGGGCTTGGCTCTCCCGGCCCTCCAGGATGGGCTGTTTCTGTGCCTTCCGACCTCTTAGCCACTGTCGCTGGGGCCTCTTTGGGCAGTTCCTGTCCTCAGGGAGCTCATGGTCTGAACCCACCCACCCCAGGCTTGGTGCTCCCCACTGTCCTGCCCCACTTCCTGGCTGCCTCAGCCCTGGAAGCTGCAGGGAAGAGGCGAGAAGGCGGCCCACTAACCCCGTGTTCTCCTTGGGCCTCCCAACACCAGGTCCCGGCTGGC